TCCAGACAATCACTATACTGTAAACAATCTCTAAATTATTCTTCCCTCACTACTAAAATATTTCAGAAGTACCATATTTAAAGGGCTCAGTATACTCTCCAATTACAGCTTTTTTTAATTATTTGTATGCTACAAAAGGAGATGAGATCGAGATTCCTGGCTTTGTTTATTCTGCAATCTTTTGTTGTGAAGGGAATGACAAAGGCATTGAGGCTACATGTAGCTCCAGGAGCAATTAGATGAAGCAAATTGCAGGTAGTCCTCAACTTACAATCACAATTGACCCCAACATTTCTGTTGGTAAGTGAATCACTGAGCTTTGCCCCATTTTGTGACCTTTCTTGCCACAGTTGTTAAATGAATCACTGCGGTTGATAGGTTAGTAACACGGATGTTAAATAAATCTGGCTTCCCTGTTGTTTTTGCTTGTCAAAAGGTTGCAAAAGGTGATCGTATGACCCTGGGACACAACAACAGTCATATGTACTAGTCAGTTGCCCAGAATCTGGATTTTGGTCACAAGATCATGGAGATGCTACAAAGGTCGTAAGTGTGAAAAATGACCATGAGCTGACAAGACTATATCAGCTAGCATTAGAGTTGGGAACCATCATCATCATCATCATCATCATCATCATCATCATCATCATCATCATCATCATCATCATCATCATCGCCATTAATAGAGTGAATTGGATTACAGCCTACCAGTCACTTTTGAGTCCCTCCCACACCCCCACACCCCAAAAAACTAGAATGGATGGAAATATCCAGATGATGAGTAGAAATTCCAAATGTTATTCATGTTGCTGAATTACTGAAATGATAATTTTCACTTGGCTTGAGATGAGGAAGGAGATAGGTTTTTTATTTCATTAGTGAGTTGTGGATATGACATATTCTTCTTCCAAAACATAAAAACTGTTGGGTGATACAATTGCTGCACCCAAAACTTGTGTTGCTTGTATACTATGCAATTCTATTACTATTCTATAACATCTGAGCAAGATTTTTGTCTTATTATTTTAACTTTTAAAAAGGAAAAAATAATAATTGGCTATGCTGTTGATGTAAACACTTTCATGTGAACCATTGATTTTTTTATTATTAGAAGATAAAAAGTTGATTCGATTGTTACACTCTTCAACCAAAACCAAGGAAATATAAGGCACTGATGATGAAATCTGCAGGTGAAATAACTCTGCCACAGGGAGCGATTCCTACCTCTATCATATCAACAAGTCCCATTCCTATCCTCAATATTCCCTAATATTGTTTTCCTTTTTTAACAACCAAGAGTGGTTTGTCATACTTAGCAGGATGGTGGTAACAATCAGCATTTATCTATTAGAGTCCAAATTATTGTCACATTTTTATTCAGATGTGTACTCTAAGTCTAGCTGAAATTAATTTTCCTAGCAGGAACATGTTCCGGATTGAAATATAAGTACGTCCTTGATTATTGCTAATTTCCTGTACTTCCTGATGCAGCCTATTTCAAGAAAGGCAAAAAGATTTCCAGGATCATATCTTTAGCCTTCCTCCCTCTTATTTGTTTGACATGATTAGGGGCTTGCAAATGTGCAGACTTACATCAACAAGATCAATATTTCCCTCCCTTGCCATATGGTTTAGTGCCCACAACAGTTCAATTCATAGTAAACAATGGAGCTTAAATATTATCAGTCAATAGAAGTTAATGGCTATCTTACAACAGCTGTGTTGGGGAGCTCTAAGTTTCTCCTTTACATTCGTCTTTGCTTGTATTTGGCCAGACAGGCATAATAATCTGTCATCAAAATATTGGGGCAAAAGAGAAGGAAACCCTTTGCCCCAATTTTTCTTTCTGATAATATGACTGGGCTGTATAAATTAGAAACTCCCTTGTTTATGTTACTCTGTACAATAAAAATGTGTGTCAAAGATGCAAGTGCATCGTATTCTGCAGTATCAAATGAATTTGCTTGTCTAAATTGTAATCCACAGACATCTTTGAGATACCTAGAAATCGATAACAGAGCTCAGGATCAATCCCATAAACATATCCACCCTTCGCCTCCTTGATGCTCTCCATACACAGAATTCTTTGGAAGCATGGCTGTCACCGCTGATACCGTTTCTCTCTACATATAAACTTTTATCTATATATTTTCAGGGTATAGATTATAGCAACCTTTGTCGCTGTGCGGATCAGCGGGGCAAGGAGAACGGATGGTCCCCGGCATGCGGCAGGCAAGTGTGCTTGCGAGCACAGCTCTTTTTGTGCAAGCAGCGGGCATGCACACCTGTCACTTATGCAAATGGAGTGTGCTTACGTGAGCAGGGATGTGCATGTATGCATGCTTGCCCACCACTTCCGCAACCCAGTTCCAAAAGGCTCAAGGGCCATGAGTGGGGCCCGGCCCAGGGTTCAGAACCCCAGATATATAGGACAACGAGGAAAAATATTGCAGTTGATCCAGAAATGATTTTTCTTTTAATGTGGAACTCAACTCTACACATATATTTTCATCCTCAAGGGTTAAGGGGATAAAGAAATGTGAAACCAGTGGAATGCAGAAAATGAAGTGGAGTTAATGAAGTCATGTTTTTGTTGAGCTAAAATATTTGCGGAGTGAAGGGCTCAAGAGCAGCAGACTCAAAAGATAAAGCAAAAGCTATTTGTATACGGCACTGAAACAATATATATTACTACAACATATGTCAAGAAATAATTTAAGCATTACTCATTAGAATCCGAAACCAGAACTATATGGAAAACATCTTTATATTTTAGTGTTGCTTCACTGAGACCCTTTTTAAAAGAGAATGCATCGTTTTCTTTTTTCCACTAGACTTTTTTTATTTTGGGAGCCAGACAGAATATTAATTTACTGTAAATGTAGCTATGTACGGGAACAAATAAACATGATAAATGACAAAACATCTTGTTTTAATGATATCTTTTCAGGCAAGGATCAATAGGTACAGGAGTGATTAAATTACACCTGCTGACTTCCTGTCTAAGAAGGTACAGTACATGTATCAGTGGTGGGTTTCAAAAATTGTTCGAACCTACTCTGTGGGTGTGGCCTCCTTTGTGGGAGTGGCTTGCAGCCCATGTGACCGGATGGGAGTGGCTTGCCGCCCATGTGACCGGATATGAAGATGCCGACGACACTTGTCAGAACCACCTTAAATTCCCTCCCACACANGTGACGTGGGTGTACCGGGGTGCACCCACAATCGCTCGCGTGGCTGCATTCTGGACAAGCTGAAGTCTCCGAATGCTCTTCAAGGGCTGCCCCATTCTGAGCACACGCACGCAGCTGGAGTGTCACGGAGGCATCACGGAGCATCGTTGGCGGTAAGTATGCATGTGTCTGCTGCGCATGTGTGCATGCACGCTGTGCGTGTTCATGTGGTGGACACCTGGCCCCATTGCACCGTACCGGTTGCACCGAGATCCGGAACCCACCACTGCTTCTGAAATATAAATCTTGTTTATATCTACAAGGAAACCTTTGAGTATTGCAATCAAAGCTTCTCCTACTACAGAGAAAAGCAGCAATAGGCTACTGACACCTGAAGTACTGACATACCCTATTTATTCACTCCTGGATGATTACAGCCAGTCATCACTGAGCAATGTGGGTGGGAAAGCCATCCAGTGTTTAAGTGTTTACTCCAGCACTACCAAAAAGTAGTAATATTGGCTTGTAAAGGGATTGTTAGAGGAGCTCCTTCCATCTACAAGACAGGTGTTCATTGGCAGACTAGAAAGAAATGGTGCTATAACAGCTCCATGCCTGCAGAAGTCTGTCTAAAACCATTTAAGGTTAAGTAGGTCTTATTTCCAGGTCAACACTCATAAAATTGGGCTACATACCTGTAAAAATGAGAACTGATGCTTCCCAAACAGCCAATAAGGCACAATACATTCTACACATAGGCAGAGTTGTTTATAGTACCCATCTCAAAAGCTGCATTTTTGCTTTTCTGCTGAATATAGGCATTTACTAGAGCAGGGAGGTCAAACTCCCGGCCCATGGACCAGGTGCTGGCCATGCCTACGCCTGGTTTAGGGAAGGGGGAAAAAGTCCTGATATGTCATGCGAGTTTGATATCCCTGTAGTAGAGCTTATCTGTTTCTGTTATTACATTCACACAATACACAATCGTCTTATGAATTAATAGGCTTTGAGGGTTTGCACAATCTGTTAATGATGGACTAAGAAAACTATCTAAACTTTAAGCCCCAGGAAATTAATCAGAAAAAGTCACCGAAGCTCTGAGCAATACGAATAACTGCATCCCACGCAAACAATAACTGGGATAAATAAACCACATGCAGCTATTGTCAACATATTGTTTGAATGAGAAAATTTAACAGTAAACATATATTACAGTATGGAATTTATGGGGGAGGCTGGGAAACCATGATGTGTAGTTTGTAGCCTTCAGAAGAATCCACTTGGCTGCTGAAAGAAACCAGAAAGACGTTACACCAAACAAGCTTTGATTTGTGTTAGCAAGACCATTCTTACACTACTAAACATAGGGGGTTTTTTTCCAGCAAGTTTTGGAACTCCTTGATCTATATTATGTCCTCCAGTTTTGCAGGAAAATTATAGAAGTAAGAATTACTGCTCTGGATGACAGACCCACATTTGTGTGATGTGTGAAATAAAAGCTCCTTAACAAGTAGTAACATTTACAGAAGGGAGATGAGTCATTAAGCTTTATGCATTGTTAAGTGTGGCAAGGTGGCCAATGAAATTTTTTTAAGCTGCAACGTTTAACTAAATAAACACCTAATGAAAAGGAAGAAGAACAACAATTCTCCTGCTGAGGACTGAAAATCAGCATAAGCCTTTTAGTTTTCCCCATCATTAAGTGGCACTTAATATATTTCCCCCTGAAGACCAGGCTGCTGGCAGTAAGTGGGGAATGCAGATGAAATAGTACTTCCACTGATTAAAATAATCCCCCTCCTCAAAGTTCAAATTGCATTTTTCCAGAGTCCATGCTCCATTCCCAAACGCAAGATCCACTTTGATTTATCCTATGCTTATCCTTTCAAGAGCTTCTTGTCAGCTTGCAAACCAAGAATTCTGTATCCCTGGCTTGCCAGCTTTCTCTGCGGGTAAGGAAACATTCCTCCTGATTATACTTTCTTCCATTAATCAGATTGTAAAACCAAATAAAATTGGCTGATTGTTTGGGGGCATTTTTCCCTTCTGCTATGCTTAGGCCTTTTTTTTGTTTAATGGTATTTGGTCTAAAATTAGATCAGCTGCTTCCTATTGCAAAAACAGATACACAGAGAGACACAGACCTGCTGGAGGCCATCCATGCAGCAAAGCATAGCAAATAATTCCTCCAGAGAAGCCCTTGTGTCTTCATTTCAGAGAGGAACAGCCATTTTCCCCCATAAAGAGAAGGGCTTTAAAATGAAAATAGTGAAGCTTCCAAAAGCTTCACATATTGCACAGTAGACAAGTAAACTGGGGATCCTGGCCTTCACACAGTTCAGAATCTGCTTTTTCTCCCTCTATTTCATGAAATTTCTTGTTTTCCTACACTACTTTCTTACACTTCGTGTCCTTAGACACAAGCTCTGGATCTCAAGATTAAGATAACCACCTGTATTTTGCCCTTCTGCGCTGAATGGGTTTTTACAGCCAAATCTGGCAGATCTTTTGGACTTGAGAACCCAGATCCCTGAGGTAATAACTTTTTGCTGTATTTAAATACCCAAACAATGTAAAAAATATTGTTTCCATTCAGAAAAGAGGAATAACTTTACTCGATGGATATTATTTACTCAACCACTGCTACCTGGGACCCTCTTCATGTTAAAATTGGCCCTTGGCCATCAAACCTAAGCCATCACTGCAGGCTCATCTATTCTACAGTATATAAACCACAGTTAGCAGAGTCCCACCAATGCAATTCAGAAATTACCTAAATAAACCATGTTAATGATCTGTAAACTGTCCCGGGCTTTTATTTTGTCAAACACAGCATCTTCCATCTTAATGATGTGATTGTGGGAATTGGATTAGAAGACCTCCAAGGTGCCATCCTTTGATTCTAGGTGTATATTTTTTTTCTACTTGGAGATGCATTGATCAGCTGTCTATCATTCTATCATATACTTCAATCCAGTGATGGGCTGCTGGCTGGTTGGACCGGTTTGGGCAAACTGGTAGTTGTGATCACTGGCTGAGCATGCCCATCTGCCCCCGCGCTATCCTTTCAATTTATAACTAACTTTCTGGCTCGTTCCCCCTGCCCACGCTGCCCAGCTGACTTCCGCACCTCACCTGCTGTATTCATGGGAGCTGCCTGAATTGATTAGCTGCATGTTTGAAGCTCCATTTCAGCCCTGAAGAGGTGTGGCCACAACCAGTGAACCAACTGTTAAGGTAAATGCAGCCCATCTCTGCTTCAATCCATATGTACATAGCAGGGCTGGGTTCCTGCCAGTTCTAAGCTCTTCTATAGAAGAGGTTCCACAAATCTACAGTGCCNTTTTTGAAACCCACCACTGCTGCAGATCAATTGTCTCCACAAATGGCATAAATCCAATGGATTTAATATGGTTTCAACATGAGGTACCCAATCTCATTTTGATATAAAACATCTGGCGTATTTCTTACAGATGTATTTATATTGACTGGAGAACATGTATAAACAGAGTTTTATTTATTTCCAGCAATAGTTTGTTACTTTCTTATGCATATAAATTTTCCAGAGATTATAAATTTGGTAGAGGTGGAGTTATAATATTTTAATATAGATCATTCAAATGCTTGATATGTTTATCTGATGCTAATTTTTTTTTCTTTCTCTCTTTTTTTCTTGGCAGATTACTAGAATTGTCATCAATAGTTCCTATCAATGCTCACTGGGGAGTTATTTCTAAGTGCTTGGCCTATAGTAAAGCTGTTTCAGATCCCTTTGTGTATTCTTTGTTACGACACCAGTACAAGAAAACGTGGAAAGACATAATAAATAAGATGTTGAAAAGAGGCTCAATAAATTCATCAGCTCTCACAAGTGAATCACAAAGTCGACATTTTTTGCAAGGGAACGAATGAAGAGGCAAGAACTATTTTTGAAAATGTAGCATAAAGCTGATGGACAAGCTGAGGAATGATAGGCAGGAATCATCAGCTGACAATATTTTGGAAAGCCTGCCTGTTAAGTGTTCAGCAATTTAGGTAATTAATTTGAAATCAAAGTTGGATGCCTTTTAATTCTGATATACAATATAGCCTACTACAAGATCTCCTTCAGTTCCATGAAATATGTCCATTCATATCCACAAAGACATAAGCTTGTCTTTATTTAAACGTGGATTTGGTATGAATTATAGTAAGGGATGGCGATTACATACCTACCAACATAAAAACACTGGACAACCTTGTGACACTTTTATTATGTGACGGCAAATTGACACCTGCTAAAATGTGATTACATAAACTACATGATCTATTCTAAATATACATGACTATTCTTCCTAAGATATGGCTATATGAGGTCATACTTAATTGCACATAAACCTGTTGGGTGGGAATCAGAGTATCTCTTCTATAGATCCTTAGTGTGAGGTACTGCTTTTGTTATGTGCAAACACAAGAAAGGTATTATTATTGGGCAAGGACCCTGCTCATATTTTTAAAGCGATGCTAATGCCCCTTACACACTAAAGCATTTTCACACATCAAAAGGGGGATATCATGCGAATTTCAAGTATTAACTACACTGCTTCATTATTTTCAGTTAAAACTATAGAAGCTTTCATGGTCCACCATCTCAGTGGTTGTGAAGAACCACCATTGTATGAGATAATATATTCTGCAATCTGCATGTGTCCATTGGAGGACAGGTGTAATCTTTTCCTTCTGGTCTTTCTCAATTGTGTGCTACACTGACATCCCACAAGAGAGGAAGCTGTGTCACATTTCACCTAAATTGTTTCCATATTGCTATGGTTTTCTGACTGTGAAAAAAAAATATACCTGAAGTGTTTTGCATTAATGTGAGTCTGCACATTACACTGGCTAAATACAGGCTGCTGGCAGTCTAGAATGTAATCTTCTTCACAATGGGAGTCATTGTGAACATTGTGTTCTATCTGGTCCTGAAGCCCTGATTGACAGCTTCAAGAGGTGTGTATAAAGAAATGTTGTACAGGACTCCTTTGTCAGTGCTCAGAACTGGATCAAAATGTTTGCACAGGTTCGACACAGACGCTTCTATGAGCTCACTGTATTTGTTTATGAAAGTATTTATGTTGAAAACAATGTATGAAAAAAAAAACATGTTTAAGTTTGAATCTACCATCAAGTGAATTGGAACAATGTTAGACATTTCTTTCCAGTAACTGGAATGCTTAAACCAGAAGAAACATTGGGAATTTATTAACACATTTCGAGAATAATAATAAGAAAACATTCAAGCTGAGTAATGTAAAATGGAAGGATGTATTATTCAGACTTCTGTTTATTCTTTTCTTTCCTTTTTTGTGAGTTATGTTGAGATGTGGAATTCTACTGATGCTGAATCCCCTTCACTTACTGGTATTTCATCTGTACCCAGTGTGCTATTTGTGCGCATCGATCCACATCAAAAAAGCTGGACAAGTTCATTCTCTTTTTTCTGCACAAATTTACGAAATAAAATTGCCACACCTAAATAAGACCCTTTCTCACTGTTCTGTACAACTGTATTTAAAATTAGCTGCCATTGTACAAATATTCCAGAATATGTAATTCTTAGTTTAAGATATAGGAGTTCAGGCTTAGCTTTCTATTCTGCCTGTTGATTATTATTATTATTTTTTTGGTGCATTGGTAATTGGGGTTGGAAGGGAGGAAATGGTTGGATTTTAGAATTATAATTGCAAGAAAATTGTCTCTTAGGTAAAAATAAAAACAATCTATTTGGGGGAATAGAAAGTATGGATACATGTATACAGGGCAATGAGAAATCCAACAGATATAGGTAATGGCAACAGTTTTCTCCCTTCTTTTTTCTTTGTGCCTATATGTATCTAAGAAAGGGAGGGAGGGAGGAAAATAGATTTAGCAATAGCAATAGCAATAGCAGTTAGACTTATGTACCGCTTCATAGGGCTTTCAGCTCTCTAAGCGGTTTACAGAGTCAGCATATTGCCCCCAACAACAATCGGGGTCCTCATTTTACCCACCTCTGAAGGAGGGAAGGCTGAGCCAACCTTTAGCCTGGTGAGATATGAACTCNATTCCTTATCTTTTTTGGCTTGATGCTTAAAGTCTGCATTAAGTTGTTAAAAATAATTTTTGTTGCTTACGGCTTTTATCTTCCATGTCTTTCTTTGGATACAATGCTAGCTTGTTTTGAAAGCCATTTAGGATCTTTTCCTCTGATATTTTGGGAGTATTTTTTCCACTCCAGTTTTGGCATCTTCTCTCCTCTGATCTCTTTTGCAGAAATGAAATGCATTGAATACACATTGAGTATGTTCCATATCTTAAATATGTTCCATACACTGACCTTATATTCTAATTCTCTGCTGGTTCTTCTTTTTAACTTTTGGGAGTTTAACCAACTTATTCTACAATCAAATCTAGAAGTATCCTGCCTAGTTAGAGTACTACAGGTAGTCCTTGACTTACGACCACAATTGAGCCCAAAATTACTGCTGCTATGTGAGACATTTGTTAAGTGAGTTTTGCCCCATTTTACAACCTTTGTGCCACAGTTGTTAAGTGAATCACTGCAGTTGTTAAGTTAGTAACACGATTGTTAAGGGAATCTGGCTTCTCTATTGACTTTGCTTGTCAGAAGTTTGCAAAAGGTGATCACATGACTTTGCGACACTGCAACCATCATAAATATGAACCAGTTGCAAAGCATCTGAATTTTGATCACGTGACCAAGGGGATGATGCAATAGTCGTGTGAAAAACAGAAGTCACATCAGTGCGATTATATCTTTGAACGGTCACTAAATGAATTGTTGTAAGTCAAGGACTTTAGTATATTTTCCCACTTGGTCATAAGGAAAGGGATCTGGATAGCAGGACTAGTCCAGCAGCTTTTAAGGAAATACATACAGTGACAGGGAGGCCCATTTTCAGCCAAGATGCAGTTTCTCCATGTGTCTTCCAGATGGTGGCTAGTTTGGACATAATGTCTGAAGGTTCAGTTAATTGGGCCTATGAAGATTTTTCAAGAAATTGTAGATGTATATAAGCCTTCTCTGACTTCCTGGTGCATTGAAAAAGAAAGAAAGAAAGAAATAGGCCTAATTGGTTTTAAAATAAGTAGTTATACTCTCATTGTGCAGTATCCCTGTTGGAAGTGACGGGATTAGCAAACTATAAATATAAAATGTGTGTTAAAATTCCTGTGATAATTTTGAAGGAGGCAGCCACAGACACATCGAACAGGAAAGGTATTTTTCCCCTCTCATTGAACAAGGAAAAAGGGTCTTGTGTTACTGCTAGTCCATTGCACTTTTGTTGGTATAGAAATGTTTTTCCTTTTCTTCCTGTATCCATTACAGGATATATTTTTTTTGCAGACAGGGCTCATTTAACGACTGCTTCGTATAATGACAGTGGCAAAAAAGCAACTTTATAAGCGCACAATTATGACCTTCAGAAGTCTGTAAAACGAAGGAAAGCTGAAGTAAAATTGTAGACAGAGTTGTGGCTTCACTTAGCGAATCATTTTGCTTAATGGCTGAGTTGCTAGTTGTAGTTGTTGAACCAGGATTGCCTGTATGTTGCTTTGTCCCACTTCAAGTTCATTAAATGTGATTCGATTCAGGGCCTATGTACTTACTGGATGCCAAGCAACCAAAGTTGGATCATGTGACCACGGGGAAATGCTGCAATGGTCATAAGTGTGAGGACTGGCCATAAGTCACGTTCTTCAGTGGTCTTGTAATTTTGGCCGGTCATTAAATGGATAATTATAAGTCAGGGGTGGGTTTCTCGCCCCATTCCAACCGGATCGGTTGGAACGAGGCCGGCGGCATCCTCGCGCACGCACGTGGTGTCCTCGCGCACGCACGTGGCGTCCTCGTGCACGCACGCGGCGCGCGCATGCATATTAGCGTCCGCAGGCGTTCTGCGCATGCGTGGAAAGCGCGAAATTCAAAAAAACCGGGTAAGGAGCGGGCGCGGGTGTGCGGGCGCGCGCGGGCGCAGGGGGGGGCTTCGCCGTTCCCGGAA